CTCTCTCACACACACACACACACACACTCACTTCATTGTCGTTCAGTCATATCAGCTGCATCGAATGAAACCATCTTATGTTCCTCCGCGGTTGGAGCTCTGCCAAAACTACAGTTTATCTCACACTCTTAATGGAGCGAGATCTGGACACACACACACACACACACACACACACACACACACACACACACACCAGGACGTGCGTCGGCCACACTCGTGGACACTCACCAAGATCACTGAGGGCCTTCACGCAATTTGCCACATCTCGGAATGACAAAAGATCTAAAGGAAGAAGAAAAAAAAATCAATAGACACTTTGAGAAGCTCTACATTTTATCCTAACTCAATTCTGACCGTGTCACATTTCATCGGCTGATCTGACCCACGCTGCCCCCGACGCTCCCGATCTGAAATATTGGAGGCAATACGCTTGATTACATGAGTTTGGCCTCGCTAGCGGAGACACACGCACACACACACACGCACGCACACACACATGCTGAGACACATACATGCACACAAACGCAGATCCTCGCTCACTCATTCTCAGTAACACCCACATGGGTCACTTTCATAACACGGAGAGAACAAGTCGTAGGAGGGAGATGGAGAGAGCGAACAGAGAGAGAGAGAGAGAGAGAGGAAGTGAGTACACTGCTGGATGGACTCGTTGTCCCTTGGGGAGACGTTCACACATTCAAACACACACACATACACACACACACACATGCACATCCGTACTTACATGCAAGACGGAACAAACAAGATGGAGAAGTCACAAACGCACACACAATAAACACACAGACACACACACTTGCAGACAATGTGAAGAGTAGATGTGTAATATTCTCTCTGCCTGAAAAGGTCCACTTCACAGGTGGAGAACAAAGGTTCGCTCCCTTCTCTTTCTCGCCGTCTTTCTCTCTTTATGACTCACTCGTATGCGCACACACACACACACACACACACACACACACACACACACACTCTCGAACACTGAAGTACATGCTGGCGCTTTGAGTCACACACCCCTTATTAACTCAGTGAGACAGTCTCGTCCCACTTTACCCCCGTGCTGCGCTGTAGGGCTGTAAAAATTTGGGATAAATATATTACCTGTGCAGAGGCGCTGAGGGGGGGGGGAGGCAGGTAGAGCAGGGAGAGGAGAGAGAGGAGGGAGAAGAGGGAGAGGAGGGAGAGGAGGGAGAGGCATTGGGGCGACTATTTCGAGCAGCCATCACCCAGTGTGGTAACCCACTTTCTTGCTCTCTCTTTCTGTCTTTCTCGCTCTTTCGCTCCCCTGGCGAGCGTCACGAGTGTCCACTCCGAGCAGTGTGTGTGTGTGTGTGTGTGTGTGTGTGTGTGTGTGTGTGTAGAAAGTGTGTTGACCTCCCATCTCCACCTGTCGACCTCCATCTTTGTCTCCAATGTCTCCACGTTCAATTATTTCTCCAGGTTTTTTTTGTAAATGCCTCCATATTCCTTCGATCTGTCTCTATGATTTCTGACAGCTCGTGAGAGAGGTGCCTGAATCTCCTGCATGTTACATACGTGTTGGTGTAAAAGGCACAAATCCATTAGATCCAGGTTTTCATTGGGACATGCACAAAACTAAAGTCTCACAATGTTAAAGAGAGAAGAAAAAAAACATTCCTGTTTTTAGCGACTGTCCAACTCAACATCTGTCACCAGGTTCTGTGGAAATCCATCTGTGGATTTAACGTAATCCTGATAACTCGCGTTTCAAAGATCCAACAAAAACAACAGAACTGAAAAAACAGAACCTGACCCCGACATCACAGAAGTCATTCTCAGTTACGCTGAAGCGTTTGCACGTCGCCCTTTGGACGTTTAAGGTCGAGTGTAAGAGCGTCCGTCTCTGTTCCTCACAAATGTATGAAGAAGAATCACCCCCCATTTAGAAAGATTGCACAATCACCTTCAAACAAGCCGATAGCTGTGAGATTCTATTTTTATGCTTTTCTTTCTACAATCTATTTTTAACTATGTTGACTCAATTTGTTGTTTTGAATGTGTGTGTCCCCCCCCCCCCCCCCCGCAGGAGACAAATCTTTCTTTAGCGCTCTCTCCCTCGCTTGTTTGATTGATGGACGGATTGATGGACGGACGGAGACATGCGGAGATGGATGTATGTTTAAATGATGGCTGGATAATCAATGGTCTTTTTCTTTTCCCCACCTCTTGCACCCAGGTGGTGTTAAAAAACGCGCACATGGCCGTGGGCTCTTTGACCATCAACGAGGAGAGGTCAGAGGTCATCGACTTTTCCGTCCCCTTCATCGAGACGGGCATCAGTGTGATGGTCTCCCGTAGCAACGGCACTGTTTCACCCTCGGCCTTCTTAGGTGAGGAACACGGGATGTGAAGGACGAGCCCGAAGGCCGTGATTTTAAACGTTTCTATCAATATTTTAACTATGGAGGTAAAATAAAACTAGAACAAATCCCACGGTCGGTTATTACACCAGATGTTGAAGCTCGTCCTGGAGGGAGATGATGACCTTTAGTTCTGAGTTAGTCAATTTGACAATTCAAAGATTTAAAATTGAGAAGAAAAGTGTAATATTACAAGAATAAAGTTGTAATTTAATAAGAAAGAAGTCATAATAATTTATCATATCAAAAAATACTTTTTTTAGGAAATAAGCAGCGAGGCGATCCCGTGGCCGTTACGAATCTGTTTCTTAAAAACTAAGAAACCTTTTTGACGAGCGCACAGATTCCTCCTCCGCAAAAGAGACGACTCTGTTTCCTTCACAATCTTTTCAAAGTCCTAACACTTGTGACACACAGGGACAACTTTTTGTCTCGTAATGTGACGACTCAGAAATCAAGCCTGATGCCGTGGACACGTGGGATTCACTTAACTGTCTCTTCCTGGGCTCTCCTGACAGACTGAGAGTGTTGGACGGACCTCTGTCAGGCGGACGTCCGTCTTCGTCCTCTGAAAGTTTCCCTCACAGTGATTCAGTGACACGCGAGCGATCAGAGCCCAGTTTTGTATTGTGTATGCATCGGAGCAGGTTGTACATGATAATATGGCTAACTGTTTATTTATTCTCTCCTCTGCTCCCTGTCTCTTTGCCCTCTTCTGTTTCCTACTCCCACTCCATTTCTGACTCTGCCTTCCTCCTCTCAATCTGGCATGCTGCATTTGCATATCTCTCTCTCTCTCCGTCTCTCTTCCCTCTCTCTCTCTCTCTCTCTTGCTTAATTTTCTCTTCCTCTCTTTCTCCCTGCTGCCCTCGCTCGTCCTCCCTCTATCCTGATCCTCTCATCCCCATCTTCCTTCTCTCCCCCCTTCTCTCCCCTCTTTTGCTTATCTCTGTCCGTCCACGCTGCTCTCCCTCCATCCCTTGTCTCCCTTCATCTCTCCTCTCTTCTCTCTCTCTTCCCTCCAGAGCCCTTCAGTGCGGATGTGTGGGTGATGATGTTTGTGATGCTGTTGCTGGTGTCAGCGATGGCTGTGTTTATATTCGAGTACTTCAGCCCTGTGGGCTACAACCGCTGTCTGGCTGACGGCAGAGGTGAGAGGCCTTAGCTCAACACACACACACACACACACACACACACACACACACACACACATGGACACACACACACACACACACATGGACACAGGCAGAGTACCTGCATCATCGTTTGAGGATTTAGATGCAAATGCATGCAGACACTTTTCTCTTCTCCTGTAGCCATGTTGCCGCCCTCGTCTCTCTCTCTCTCTCTCTCTCTCTTTTTGCTCGGAACACAACAGATGTGAGGTTGAATTTAGAGGTGAAATTATACGTTCGGAACACACGCTGGAAGTTTTACTTTTGGGAAGCGATGAGTCAGACTCACAGCTTTCGACGCCTTGTGTGACATCACCTTTTTTAAAATTTTGCAAAAAAGTAATTCCAGAAATTTGCAGAGACCATTTTAGAAGAAATGTAATTTTCTAGTTCTGACAGTCCACCTGAGCTGCACCGCTCTAATCATGTGACCTCCATCACACACGTCCTCTGAATGTGGCGGTCCATTTAAGATTTACCATCTCGTCCACCTGTCGCTCGGACACGGGGGGGTTAAAGATGTTTGCTCATTATGTTAATGTGATAAAGTGATGAAGTGATGAAGTCAGAGCCCAGACGCTTCAAACTTGAGTTGTCTGAGTGATGTTTAATGATCATCAGCTCAAGTGCTGGTGAATTATTAACGTCTGGTTCCACCCACCATGTTTAATCCAACACATTCGGCCAAACAAATCCGTCGTGTATTAGCATATTGTGTAGGAGATAGGATTGTGTTTTGATCCTTTGAAACCAAGTTTGAGAAAAAGTTATTTAACATATTTGTGTAATACCACTAAAGAAAATAAGGACAGCTGAGACAGGTCTTTAGTTTTCAAGGTATTTGCTTATAAACTAAAGAATTGGACAAAAATCTATTCACTGATTCAGACGATACCTGATATGGAGGAAACAAAGCAGCTGACAATTAAATCCATGAGTAAAATTTAGATGTTTCAAGGTTCAAACTAATAATTTACTCCAACATATCAAGCACAGGTTCGAGGTTTTGAAGGTAAATGCAAAGAATACGACTCTGGATCATCTCACACAAACACTGTGTTCAGCCTCCATATAAAAACCAGTCGTCCTCACTGACCCAGTGACTTCCTCCTCCTCCTCCTCTTCATCCTCCTCCTCCTCCACGCTGCTCTCTCTCTCTCTCTTTTATAATCTTTTACAGGTGTGTTTCTCTGCTTTAGTGCTGCGTCCGTCACACCGGTCATTTGCATTCATTTCCATATTTCCCAAAAAAAACACATGTCAGCTCCGACAGCAAGACTTTGTTTTTTTTTGTTAGATCTCAGAAGCCAAAAAGATAAGAATCCCAAAGAAAATCAATCTCTTCCCTCAACTCTGACGCGGCTAAATATAGACAATGGCTATCTTTTTTTTCTTCATTCCTCTCATCGTGTTCAGAAGAAGATGCATTCCTCCCTACAGCGCGGTTCTCCTCTGTGTGCCTCCTTGTTGTATCTGCTTGTAGCACAGTGGGAGCTCGGTATCATGAAGAGTGCAGATCGAAGATTGAACTCAAATGGTTCGGCGCAATAACGCATCAACTGCAGTAGATTTGTGAATTCTTGATTCATTAAACCGAGCTTCTTCTGCGAACTTCACACGCAGGAGATATTTGGCTCGATAAAGTCGGTTTGTCCGAGAAACAAAAGCCTCTTGCAACAATGCACACGCCCACGCGCTCGCACAACTCGCTCTCGCACAGTCACACGTACCCACACAAACATTGTCAACCAAATGCTAATCGCCGCTTAATGAACCGGTCTTCTGTCGGCTTGCGGACGAATGAAATCCACATGGTTCCAAACTGATTAGAAAAACATTCATTAAAAAAAAAAAAAAAGGTTATAATGTCGTGAGCAGTTGTGGCTCAGGAGGTAGAGCGAGTCATCGGATAACCAGAAATCGGTGGTTCGATCCCAGGTGCCTCTGTATTTCAGGCATGAACCACGATGTTCTTCTGACGCTGCAGTTTGTGTTGCGTCAGGTGTTCTTATTATTTTGTCCGTCAGTGAGGGTGGGCTGAATCACAGAAACATTTGTCTGTATAATTCAATAGATTCAAAAGGCCACACGGTTGAATCAACGTCTCTCTGCAACACTTCACACTAACCCTGAACATTAAAACACCCTCGTGAAGGTCAGGTTATTATTTTTTGCAGGACTGTTGCACTAGACTTCATTAGTGTTTGCTCCGTGAACCTGATAATCTGGTAACTGAGCGTATAAATCGGATAAAAGTCACATAGAACAACAAGAAGAGAGTGAACAGCGATGCCAGGAGCTCTACATGCTAACGCTACAATACTAGCATGTTGCTATTTAACTATATTTGTCACATAGACTGTTTATAAATGGATAAATGGATGATGTGTCTCCACTTCTTCCCAATATCCAGAAATTAAGCCAAAATATCCCGGATATGAAAGCTGCCATTTCCCTCCACCTGTCAATCATAACATCATATAACGTATTAAAACCAAACTTGAGAGAAAACTTGAGTTTGTTTTAAGAACGACTGAAACCATCTTTGACAAAAATGTGTTTGTTAGTATTTTAAGTTTTGTCGGTGCGGCCGGTCACCAGGTGGAGATCAAGACACCTTGGCTTCACTTTTGGGCAGCTGTCATGTCGTCCATCTTTATAAATTTAGTGTAATCTCATCTGGAAACCAACCAGACGCAGTGATTCATGAACCTGATCCGCCTCCTGTTCTTTGACCACGTTTCCTTCAGAGCCTCACGGTCCATCCTTCACCATCGGTAAGGCCATCTGGCTGCTGTGGGGTCTGGTCTTCAACAACTCTGTGCCCGTGCAGAACCCCAAAGGCACCACCAGTAAGATCATGGTGTCAGTGTGGGCCTTCTTCGCTGTCATCTTCCTGGCCTCTTACACTGCCAACCTGGCCGCCTTCATGATCCAGGAGGAGTACGTTGACCAGGTGACTGGTCTCTCCGACAAAAAGGTACGAGGGGCCGCTCTTCTGTCGTCTCTTATCTCACCTGTGCCTCACATTTGAGAAGCAGATGTTTTTACACATCTCCCGTTCTTCTGCGTTTAGTTCCAGAGCCCCAACGACTTCTCGCCTCCGTTTCGGTTCGGCACCGTCCCGAACGGGAGCACAGAGAGGAACATCAGGAACAACTATCCAGAGATGCACTCCTACATGACCAAGTTCCACCAGAGAAACGTGAACGAGGCTCTGCAGAGCCTCAAGGCTGGGTGAGGACCTGAGCAGTACAGCAGAGCTGCTGTTCATCCAGTCCGGTTGTAAAAACCCAACTGAGCGAGCAAAACGATTTTCTGTATCAAAGATTGAAACATAAATCTGTGATTAACATCTCCAGATATTAAAAATGTAATTTGGAGCACGGTAATGTCTCGGGCTTCAGGCCGTGTTGAATGTTTCGGTGCAGCAGCCTTTGGAGAAAAGGATTTCAAATAGTTTGTGATTTAAGATCCTTGTTTGTGTCTCTTCTACGTGTCCAAACATATTGTAGCTGAAAACCTCCAATAATACTTTTACTCCCCCTCTTCACTTTTCATGGAGTGTCTTTTTCTGTGTGCCAGCTCCAGCCTTTGGCAAAGCAAGTGGAAGTCTATTACTCTTATCAGCAGCTTAGTGCTATTTAGCAGGTTAATTGGAATGTTGTCGCGGTGATGTCTGACTCCTAAGTGCTAATTAATTGTAACCTATCTCTCTCTCTCTCTCTCTCTTTCTCCCCCTCTCTCTCTTTTTTATTAGCAAACTAGACGCTTTCATTTATGACGCAGCCGTGCTCAACTACATGGCCGGCAGGGACGAGGGCTGCAAGCTGGTGACCATTGGCAGCGGCTACATCTTCGCCACCACGGGGTACGGCATCGCCATCCAGAAGGAGTCGCTCTGGAAGAGACACGTGGACCTGGCCATCCTGCAGCTTTTTGGAGACGGTGAGACGGCGTCCTTGT